CACGCATTCTCCCTCGCACTCACCCTCACATTCGCCCTCACTCTCATATCCACACTCACGCTCGCATTCGCCCTCGCACTCACACCAGCACTCTCGCGCTCACTCTCGCGCGCCCTCTTGCGCGCGCTCTCACGCCTCTCTCGCACGCTCCCTCATGCGCAAACTCACGCGCCCTCACGTGCTCGCTCGCGCGCTCCCTTGCGCGAACTCTCGCGCACTCTCCCGCGCGCTCCCTCACGCACTCTTTCGCTCGCACTCTCGAGCGCACTCTCACGCGCTCTCTCTCGCGCACTCTCCGGCGGCGCTCCATCACGCGCTCTCTCACGCGCGCTCTCACGCGCTCCCTCACGCGTGCTCTCACGCGCTCTCTCGCGCGCTCCCTTGCGCGCACTCTCGCACGCACACTCGCGCGCGCTCTCTCGCGCGCTCTCCCACACGCACTCTCACGCACACTCACGCGCTCTCTCACGCGCACTCTCATGTGCTCTCTCACGCGCACTCTCTCACCCTATCCCACGCGCCATATCACGCGCTCTCTCACGCGCTCTCACACGCTCTTTCACGCACTCTCTCACGCGCTCTCACACGCTCTCTCACGCTCACTCTCACGCGCACTCTCCTGTGCGTGCGCTCCCGTGCACTCGCTCTTCCACGCGCTCCGCGTCTCTCCCTTTCTTCACGAAGAGAGCTACGGAAGAGGAGCCCAATCGGCACACGAAAAAAAAAACGACGAGAGCAAAAAAAGAAGAAATTTCAGAGGGGGAGGGGAGAATGAAAGGACCGGGAACGCACCTGAAAACCACGGTAACTCATGAAACAATCCGCGCTCGCGCACCAACGCGCTCGCGCACCAACTCGCGCTGGCGCTCGTGCACCTGTCGCCGGAGGCGACGGCGGGGAGGAGGGTGACGCGACGGCGGGGAGGAGGGTGACGCGACGGCAAGGAGGAGGGTGAGGCGACGGCGGGGAGGAGGGGGAGGCGACGGCGGGGAGGAGGAGGAGGCGACGGCGGGGAGGAGGGGGAGGCGACGGCGGGGAGGAGGGGGAGGCGACGGCGGGGAGGAGGGGGAGGCGACGGCGGGGAGGAGGGGGAGGCGACGGCGGGGAGGAGGGTGAGGCGACGGCGGGGAGGAGGGGGAGGCGACGGCGGGGAGGAGGGTGAGGCGACGGCGGGGAGGAGGGGGAGGCGACGGCGGGGAGGAGGGGGAGGCGACGACGGGGGGAGGAGAGGCGACGGCGGGAAGGAGGGGAGGCGACGGCGGGGAGGAGGGGGAGGCGACGACGGCGGGAAGGAGGAGAGGCGACGGCGGGGAGGAGGAGAGGCGACGGCGGGAAGGGGGAGAGGCGACGGCGAGGAGGGCGAAAGAGGATACGGGGGATGGGAGGGAGAGCGACGGCTGGGTGGGAGGTGCTAGCGATGGCGGGGTGTTAGGAGAAAAAGCTAGAGAAGAAAATGGGGTGGGGGGGAGAGTGAGCAAGCAGGTGCTTCTCGAGAGAAACGAAGAACAAGAACCAAGAAATGAAGAGCGCGTCAAATTCGGTTTGACAGCTGTGAAAGGGACGGATATCCCTTGGTTGTGGTTGTCGTGGAGCTGGCGAGAAATTTTTTGCCAGCGCAGAACGAGTTACTGAAACTTTTTATGTACAGTATACATTGTAATATGAGGGCAAGGGTGAATGGCAAGAAAAAACAAAATCTGGGCATTTGGCAATACTAAAAAAAAAAAAATCGCTCACACTAGACTTGAAAGCTAGTGTCACGTGAAAACACATGCGTGCCACGCCATCCCACTAGCTGACACAGCAGATACGGTACAGTAATTGCAAACATAAAACCCGCTATAGTACGCTGATAGAACTATAGAATATGCACTAGGTGTAAACAATTCATCTTTTTTATGATCACAAAATATTTGAACCATATTAGTTAGCACTCAAAACAATTTTGAGGGAAGAAATGTCTAGAAAATGTATTTTCTCCGTAATAAGGGACTATCGATCTTGTCATGTTTTAAGTTAATATACATCATCATGAAGAACTTAGTAAACGCAGTGGATACAACCCTACGCAACCCTTTCGACGTAAACGTCGAAGCTTGTTTCCTGTAGTCAGCAGCACAGAACACACTTTCAAGTGGATTCAGATTCAAGGATTCAACCCTGAGTTGTCGCAAGTCTCTAAGATTACCTCGTCATTTCGCCTCGTCTTCTGTCCCATTCAAGATGACACTCCCATCAACTAGCGCTCCTCCGTCGCGCGGTCCGTCCCTCTGTGTGTGCGCGCGAGCCATTGCAGGCGACGCCTCAGGCATCGGCGGCGATTCAGACGCATTTCAAAGGCGCGGTGGAGGAGACAGAGTTTATCGACACGGTCGCGGCGAAGCTGCGGGAGCACGGCTTTAAGAGGTAACGTGTCTTGAGCCCCAATTCTGTATCCATTTTGTTCACTGGTAGTATCACTGGAGAGATGGATTCGTTTCGCGATACTTGACCCTCTTCCGTCCTCTTTCCCGCCGCCACCAGGGGCAACTGTATTGCTCTGGTGAGCACGTGTCGCGACGAGGCGTCGCGGTTGTTCGACGGGCTGGTCGACAAGCACTTCGGGCTCGTCTTCTCGCTTAACGGACTCGCCGGCGTGCCGCCCGGCGGCGTGCTCGCCGTCAAGGCCGGCACGTCGCACAGCCCGCAGGACGCGAATGGCCGCGAACGATGTACGCGGCGCGTGGGGTGCTTGAATGCGGGTGCTGGGATGTGGGTACTCGGACATGCGGCGCTGCGCGGGCGCTGCGCTGCGCCGTGGATGATGCAGAATGCTTGGCGACTCGGAGTCATCCGGGATGCGCGCGTCGAATCTCAGGACGAAGGACCGGCATGTTGCGAATGCCGTGAAATGTCGTGAATGCCGCGAAATGTCGTGAATGCCGCGAAATGTCGTGAATGCCGCGAAATGTCGTGAATGCCGCGAAATGTCGTGAATGCCGCGAAATGTCGTGAATGCCGCGAACTGTCGTGAATGCCGCGAAATGTCGTGAATGCCTTGCCAGGCACGACAGAGAATGCTTCGCCGTCACCAATCCATCTCTTCGCTTTCTACCGAAGAGTTTTCCCTCTTTTCTATTCTGCTTTTCCTCTTCTTGAAACAGCCACTCATCCTTCCTTCCCAACTTCGTTCGTTCGTTCGTTCGTTCGTTCGTTCGTTCGCTCGCTTGCTCGTTTGTTTGCTTGTTGTTCGTTTGTTTGTTTGTTCGTTCGTTCGTTCGTTCGCTTGCTCGTTTGTTTGCTTGTTGTTCGTTTGTTTGTTTGTTCGTTCGTTCTTTGTGCTGCGCGGCACGAGCAGACGTGTTTTTCGGCTTCACGCACATTGGTATCGACGACTTCGGCACGTGCGGCAGGATGCGCCGCATTGGTCGCTCGGCCATGTCGGGCGCGTGCGGCGCGCTGGCGGCGCTGACGACGCAGCTCAAGGAAGGAAAGGGGCTGGGGGAGGCGGACGAGGAGGACATGGAGGCGCACTTTCTGTTTAAGAAGCTGAGCGCTAAGGTCAGTCGGTTGGCGAGGGGGAGAAAGGGGGGGAAGGCTGTAAGGTTGTCTCTTTATGAGGCGCCTCGGTAAGCGGACGAGGAGGACATGGAGGCGCACTTTCTGTCCAAGAAGCTGCGCGCTAAGGTCAGACGGTTGGCGAGGTGGAGAAAGGGGGGAAAGGCTGTAAGGTTGTCTCTTTATGAGGCGCCTCGGTAAGCGGACGAGGAGGACATGGAGGCGCACTTTCTGTCCAAGAAGCTGCGCTCTAAGGTCAGTCAGTTGGCGAGGGGGAGAAAGGGTGGAAAGGCTGTAAAATTGTCTCTTTGTGAGGCGCCTCAGTAAGCGGACGAGGAGGAAATGGAGGCGCACTTTCTGTCCAAGAAGCTGCGCGCTAAGGTCAGTACAGGTCACAAGAAGATCCTTTTGAGAAGTCTCAACAGGGGGGGTGAGATAACCCTAGCCGATGTTGGCCGACCAGTCGACCCAACATTCCGTGACAAAACCTTCTTTCCCCCCTTGCTCCCCTCCTCCCTCCTCCCTTTTCTCCTTCCTCCTCCCTTTTCTCCTTCCCATCACCCCGTCCCCCACACGCCCAGGACCCGCCTGCCAACATTGTGGCCGTGACCAAGGCGGCAGTTGCTGTAATCAACGACACTCTCGAGAAGACTATTGCCAAAGTCGTGGACGCAAACAAGGCGGACTATGCCGTGTTCACAGGCGTGCAGATCCACTCCAACTGCTATCCCTCGGGCTCCATGGCTGATGGGGCCCCGTTCAAGCTGGGCCAGTTCAAGCTGACTGAGACGGTGGAGTATGTGTCGCCGTCGCTGGGGTATGTGGTGGTCAATGGGGTGAAGACGCCGCTGAAGCTCACCAAGGAGGTGTGAAAGGGCTTCTTCTCAGGGAGAAGGGGGAGGGGTGCGGTCCCGTGGGGTGGTGGAGAGGGGTGGCGAGAGACTTGTCGCAAGTGAGTGGGACCTTGCATTGCCTTGGCCAGGTTTCCTACTTACGGTACCGTAACATATTTTCTGCTAGCCTAGTGATAATTTTTATGGTAACTAGTAATGGCAGTTGCGGGAATGACGCGAGGCAAAATGGGAATGTTCTTTGGTGCAAGCTGGAACGGGCTGAGTTTCATGTACTGCTATTGTACATTTTGTTGAAATGCACACTACTTTGAAGTTGCTCCTGCGGCCCTGCTCAACAGCTTGTCTGCAAGACAAATGAAACAGCAGTAGTTCCCCCCAAAATTACCGTACAAGGTATTGTGAAGGGGAACCCAACCGAAACAAAAGCTCTAAATACCGTAGAAACAGGGAGCGAAGGGGGGCGGAATCGTCTGGATGCAGAAAGGAGGTAGCGGGGAGTGCGGGCCACAGTGCAGGAAGAGCAGGATGCTTCCTGCAACAGCCACATTGAGCGACTCTCCACCCCCCCCCTCCTCTCCCGGCATGCGAATGGCCACTGGCTGGCACAGCCTAATCAGAGACCGGGAGAGAAGGCGAGGGCGTGGGCATATGTGAAGTGGGCAGCGGGGAGTGCGGGCCGAGCAGGAAGAGCAAGATACCCCCTGCAACAGCCACATTGAGAGACTCTGCTCCCCCCGGCATGGGAATGGCCACTGGCTGGCACAGGCGCAGCGCTGTCGCTGATAGGCCCTGGCCCTCACTGCCCAACACTAGACAGATGCCGTGGGGTGAGGGGGAGGTGGAGGGGGTGGGAGAAGAGGGGGAGGCGGGGGAGGAGGGAGGAGGGAGCGCACTGGCAGGAGCAGCGGGTGTAACGGCAGGAGTGGCGGGAACTGCAGCAGCAGATGTGACAGCAGCATTATTTGCGCCAGCATCAGCATCAGCAGCAGCAGCAGCAGTATGAGCAGCAGCAGGGTGGGCAGCAAGGAGGGAGAGGTTGTGGTGGGAGGTGAGGGAGAGGAGGTGGGACCAGTCGCCAACAGCCACAGGCAGGCGGAACAACACTCCCCGTGACGCCCTCAGTGCCTTGTCGTTGAACGGGTCACAGCAGCCGGGCAGGAGAAACACGCCGTGCTGCCCGAGGATAACAAGGAGAAGGGTGGAGAGAGGGGGATCACGGGTAAAAGGAGATGGAGCGATGGGGAGAAGGGACGTGTTAGAAAGGTGGGGAGAAATTTCATAGTAGAGGCAGTAGTGGAGATTTTGGACCCAAGCTGCATGGATGCTTGGATAATGAACTGAATAGTATTTCATGGGAAAGTCATGCAAGCAGTCCAAGGAACAACAACCTCAGATACATCATACAACCCATGCCAGTCCCCCTTGTCTCTTCCATCTTTCCCATCCCCGCCCCACAGCATCTCACCCAGTCAAATGCCAGAGCCGTGCGCAGCAACGTGCCCAGATTGCCGGGGTCCTGGCGCGGCAACAGGCAGGGAGGGAGCATGATTACAGGGTGTGGATAGAGGGGGGTGAACGTGGTTGTGTGCGTGAACGTGTGCACGTGTGTGAACACGGGCCACACAAAAACATATACGTGTGCAGCGGTAAGAGTCACAGCAAGTTACCAGCGCAAGGTGCCAGCAAGACAGCGGAGCAAAACACCAAAGAAATACATCAAAGAACTATTCCAGAGCTTGTTACCTGAACGCCATCCAGCACAAGCACTCGGGACATGTCCCCTCCCCATCCTCTCCCACCCCCCTCCCCTTCAAACCACTGCCTGCCTACGCCGTGCCCCACTTCCGCCCCCTCCCCTTCCGCCCCTCCCCCTCCGCTCCTCCTTTTCTCCCCCAACCCATCCTCCGCCCGTACCTCCACAACCCTCCCCACCAATTTCTCCCCTCCACTTCTCTCCTCCCCTTCCCCGTACCCCTTCCCGTCCCAATCCCCCCTCTCCTCCTCCCCCACCTCCTCTCCCTCCTCACCCCCATCATCCGTACCACTCTCCAGCACTTGGAACGACGCGGGCAGCAGCATGACAGCAGCAATAGCAGCACTGCCCACGCTCTGCACGCCTGCCAGGCGCCTCATCACAGCAGGGGACACATGCAGCACGCGCCGAGCCACGCGCACCAGCGCAGGGGGGGGGGCGAGGGGGACTCGGACTGCACCAGTAGGATATCCAGCGGACACTCGCCATGGGGGAGCAGAGCCCCCCGCCCCTGCCCCTGCCCCTGCCCCTGCCCCTGCCCCTGCCCCTGCCCCTGCCCCTGCCCCTGCCCCTGCCCCTGCCCCTGCCCCTGCCCCTGCCCCTGCCCCTGCCCCTGCTTCTCCCCCTCCCGCTGTGCATCCCCTTGCGCCTCTTCCCACCCTTCCCCCTGGGCCTCCCGCCCCTCCTTCCCCCCAGCCTCCCCCTGCGCCTCCCCCTCAACCTCACCCTGGGCGGGCAGCCAGGGCGCGCAGATCTCCAGCAGGGGCACCTCGCCCGCCACCAGCACGCGCCCCCACGCTCTCCGCGCCGCGCTGCTCTGCCGCAGCCGCACGGCGCGCTTCACAAACGCGTTGCTCACGCTCGCCACCTCGCCCACGTGCAACGGCGGGTCCTGCCACGCGCCCTCCTCGTCTTTGCCTTCCACTCCGCCTCTCACTCCCTCCCTCACTCCCTCTCGCTCTCCTGCTCTTCTCGTCCCCCTCCTCTCCTCCCCTCTCATCCCAGAGTTTCCACCAGCTGCTGCTGCTGCCACTCCTCCATGCCTCCCTGAAAACGACTCCCTCCTCAACCCTGACTCGGGCCCCTCCCAGTCCTCTCCTGCCCAGTCCTCTCGCCTAAACCCTCGGGGATCGTACTCCCTGCGTCCCTCACTCTCCCGCTGCTCTCCCTCCCTTAAACCCTGCTTAAACCCTTCCCTAAACCTCGACCCCTCGCCTCGCCCCGCGTCCTCTCTTCTCCCTCTGAGGCCCCCACGGTTCCTGAACCCGCTTGTAGAACCCTCGTTATAGTCACTCCGAGCGCCACGTGGCACCTTATCACCATCACGACCGCGTCCCCTGTCACTATATCGAGAGCCACCATCTCGAGGAAATGGATCTCTCTGTTGCGGCTCCCTCGCCCGTCCCCTCCTCTCTTCCCTTCCTCGCCCGTCCCACTCTCGCTCCTGCCACTGCTCCGGTTCTCCCCTCGAGTCATCCCCCCGCCTATCCTGCCCAGACCCCCCGTACCCATCCCGAGCCCTCGATCCCCTTTCCCCCCACCTTCGCTCCCCCACCTCGTCCGCATCCCACCGTCCCGACCCCTCCCTCCGCCAGTTTCGCTCCCCGTCCCCCTCCCCCGCCCGCCAATCGCCCCGTCCCCTCTCCCGCCCACCCCCATTTTCCCCCTCTCCGCGATCCCATTCTCCTCTTCTCCCCCGCCCGCTCGCCTCGAACCCCTCGTTAGAATCCCGCTCTCGACGAGGGTCCCGCTCATCCTCTCGCCAGCCTCCACTGCCACTGCCACCGAACCTGCCGTCTGCCCGAGCCTGCCGCGATCCGAACCTGCTCTCCTGGTACGGTTCGTTCCGACCCTGCCATCCGTCTCTGCTACTCGAGTTTTCGCCTCGAGACGCGCGTGCCCTGCTAGTCTGTTTCCTCGAATCAATCGAACTATCGCGTCGCCATCCGTCAGCGCCCGCTAAACTGGGCAACACTGACGACACGTGGCGAGCACGCGCGGTGGTGGTTACACTTAGCCGTTGCTTGCTTGCGTCGATTCGGCGGTGTGGCAAGTTGGAGATATACGCGATTGCGATAGGCGTGCTTGCATTGCTAGTGGTTGCACGTATCAGAGAGCAGCTGCAGACGAGAGGCTCTACGGGGAAATCCCTCGACGATTGTTGCAGCTGCGAGGGGCTGACGTGGCGATATATGTGCGATGAGAATAATCCTGCCATGGTGCACGTCAGCAAGGCACTACTACAGGATTTGGCCTTGCAAGAAAGATTTGAGACTGGACATGCATAGGTCTTGTAGTGCGTGGGGTGTTGGAAAAGGGCTTTTCCAACTGGAAACATATCGCACCGCAACAAATCGTACCGAAAACTTGTGGAACCGCTGAATGGGGCCCGTGCAAACAAGAAATCCTCCAGACGTGTACGAAGCTGTAACCCGATCACGAAGACCCAAGGCGGGAAGGGAGGTACAGCCATTGGATGAGCTGACCTGACATTGACAGGTCCCGTTACGTACCCTAAAGAAATCGGTCTGGGCGAACTCGCAGAAGCAGCCAATGAAAACTGTTCGTGGGCCGTTTATGCAAAATACCGTACGGGCTAACGTGTAGCGAATGTATGGTTTTCATTGAACTACGAAAGTTGTCGGAGATATTTGTGGATCTGTAAGGCGATCCATGCGCCTCTAGGGGCCTAATGGTTTCTTTTAGCCTGAGTGTCATTGTAACCATTGGAACGCAACAATACCCCGGTAATAAAACCTTTTCCACTTTGTTGAGCTACGAAACTGACCAGCCTGCAACCGACCCCCATGGCTGCTCGGCTGCTTTCATGATCCCCATCACCCACCTCAGCTCCCGCCGACGTTTCCGCAAACACGCTTGATTGCATCTTCTTTCAATCTTGCCTAGAATCAGAGACAGTCCGCCGCGTCGCCTTCTCCAGCTGTTTCAGCTTGGTTGATAGTCGTAAGCATGACTCTTAGGCCCTGTTGTGACTACTGGTAACTCTCTACAAGCTTCATATTAAGTAGCTCTTGCCTGCTGGATACCACAAGCGTTCATTATGCTCACTGGTATAGCCTTCTTGACTAGGATTCATTCTCTTCCAAACCTTTCCTCTAGACCTTTGTAAGAGCGAATTGACAGTCTGACCTACTAACCAAAGGCTCTCACCGAATCACCGCCAAAATCCGGAAAGCAGCCTTAGCTCAAAGCAGTCTTGAGACTCAACACAATTTCGTCGAGGGTAACGTCGTAGCTAGTGGCACTGGTGGGTAGTTAGCTAGGCCAATCGGAGCCAGACGGAAAGGGAATTGGAGCTCGAATAGGAGACGATTAAAAAGAGATAGATTCAGAGGGACAATAGGAGGAAGAGCACTAGGAGGCCGTCGGATGCGGCGAGATGCAGCGAGTGCATTCGAACACGGCGCTGCCGCCCGGCGCAGATGACATCGAGCTCAAGGACGATCCGCTCATCGCCGCCGTTGCTGCCGCCACCGCCGCGTCCGCGGCCGTGGGGAGCACGCCGCCGCGAACCCGCTCGTACACGAATGTGACAATAACGGGCGAGCCTGAGTCCGGTGAGTTTCCAGATTCCCGTTCGGGTGGAGAACGTGCTAAGCGCGCCGTGCAGGAACTCCATTTCAGCCCTTCATGGCGTGGCTTGTGAGACGATTCGAAGACTTAAAAGCCTTCATGCCGCGGCCCGTCCAGCCCAGGCAACACCACCAAAGGTATTCACAGTCCTCGCATGTGATCCATTCGAGAATCCTCACAGCAACTCGACGATACTCCGAGTTGACAAAGCTCCGAGTTGAGTGCAGCTCCGAGTTTCCAAGGCATGAGACAAAGGTACGGTCTGCTTGGTCTGTCTCTCAGCACCGCCTCTCTCCATCCCACCCCTGGTTCTTAGACACCGCTGAACCAGGCAATACAGACCGCACAAGGTCTCGGGTTTCACGGCTTGTGGCTGTGCCACCTCTTGCATTGACTTCCACAACCCACCCGTTTCCATGCGTCAGCAAGACCCTCTTTCTTCAGCTGTTTTGCAGGGACTTGCCCCCCTTTTCATGGCTTGCCCTTCTGTTCATAATAAAACACTCAGATCCTGCACCCCCTTTCCCATAGTCCCCTTGCATTACCTGTCCTCTGTCAACTTTCCAAGGTAGTCCCTACCAACATATCTTCTACCTTTTCATCCTTCCACACCCTTCCCCCTCCTCCTCCCCCCCCTGCCCGCCGCCTCCCTACTTCTTCCCCCCCTCTCCCCCACACTGTCAGTGCGCAAGTTCAGGAGGAAACGGTCTGAATGCGCCTGCCCTCTTCACCAGATAGCCATCTCCGTTACAGTCTTCTCCTTTATGGCCTGGGTGAGCTGCTCGTCCTAGTTTTCCAGTCAAGCTTCTCGCTTCCCTTCCCTGCCCAGAACATCCTGGCCCATTTATGCTCCATGCCGCGTGTCCTGTGCGCTGTGTGTGGCCTCTTCTCCATGCATGCCGTCCATGCCCCACTCCCTTGCCCCATGCGTCATGCCCTATGCATTATACCCCATGCCCATGCCCTCACGCCTTTGACCCTTCCCATGCATGTACCCATGCGTCGTGCATGCAGGTTTCATACCTCTTTCTGACCAAGGATGAGTGACGTGATCTACACCAAATTCTTGTCGTCAAGGTTGACACATTGACGATCACAAACGTTGATTTATTATTACAAGTGCACCGATTTATTGGAGCATGTGAACAGCTGCATGGTACCGTATATTGCAATGTTGGAATGGATAGTGCTTGCGTGAACCTTTTTGGGCCTAGACTCTAGAGGGATAATAGTATCGTTTTTGTACTGCTTGCAGCTTCACTATATTATTGCCATTTTATACACGGGCCGCTGGCCAGCTCAGCTGATACATGGAAATTCCATGTAAAAACAAGCAATGTGTATGGTGCACAAGGGTTAGGGTATCATATATTGGGACTTTTAAACACACTAATATCACTACACACTGTACACAATCAAATTATATTCAACCACATCGATTGATGGGAAAATATGTCAATGGTAACTTACTCTCAAATGTTGTAGCCTATAGTGAGGTTTGTCTTAGGGGGTACAAAACTTAGGGTTAGCTATATGTACCCCAACCAACATCAATGCACCATCCATTCTTCATTTTGACATGGTATCAGTTAGGTTAGGATCCTGTGGGATCCCGTTCCTCCGTTCTCCGTTCGAGCCTCCCGAGCCTGATCCTAGCTCTCATTCGTCTCCCCGTCCCGTCGCCCTGTCCCGTCTCCCCGTCCCGTCTCCCCGTCCCGTCGCCCTGCCCCGTCCCGTCCCGTCTCTCCGTCCCGTCCCGTCTCCCCGTCCCGTCGCCCTGCCCCGTCCCGTCGCCCTGCCCCGTCCCGTCGCCCTGCCCCGTCCCGTCGCCCTTCCCCGTCCCGTCGCCCTGCCCCGTCGCGTCGCCCTGCCCCGTCCCGTCGCCCTGCCCCGTCGCGTCGCCCTGCCCCGTCGCGTCGCCCTTCCCCGTCCCGTCGCCTCTGCTCCGTCGCGTCGCCCTGCCCCGTCGCATCGCGCCCGCCCTTTCCCCCGGCCCGTCGCCCTAGCCCGTTCTTCCGCTGCGACTAAGTCCCCCCCCCACTGGAACCCTAATTTGCCTCTTACCTCCTACTGTTACTCGCCTGCTCGTTCGCGTTAGTTCTCGCTATGGCGACTCCGCGAGTTCTTCGTTTCGACGCTGACGGTAGACCTCTTGACTTTTCCGTCTGGCTTCTTCGCGCTCGCCGTCTGTTAGAGAGTCAAGTCCAGGGGGGCGAGACCCTCTGGTCGCACGCTACTGGTGACCTCCCCGAGCCCCCCGAGCCTGCCGCTTTAGGTCCTGCCCCTGACGATGCTGCTACGGCTCGCTTTGCCCGTCAGCGCGCTGACAGGACGGCTTGGACGTCGCGTGACGCTGCGGCCTGCATCGCACTCAGCAGCCTCCTCCCTGAGTCAGAGGAGGTCCACTTCACTCAGGTTCGCACCGCTGCTGCGTACCTCACTGCGATTAAGGCCCGCTACTCTACTCCCGCTACTGTCTCTCTTGGCCGTCTTTTCCTCCCGTTCCTGTTTCCTGATCTCGCCTCGTTTGAGCGCTCTGCTGACTTGATCGCTCACCTCCGCTCGCTCGACGCTAGTTACCGCGCTGCTTGCACTGAGGCACAGCTTGCACTGCTTCCTCCCCCTATGGCGATTACTATCTATTTCATCGCCACTAGCCTCCCTGACCGCCTTGCCTCCGTTCGCGACGCGCTTCTGCTGAAGCACCCTAGTGAGCTCACAGTCGATGTCCTTGAGTCTGCACTCAAGGACGTCGAGAGCAACCTTCGCTCGGTAGCCGCTGCCTCTGGTGCTGTGCCCCCCCCACTCTTCCACGGGTGCACAGTCCCGCAGTTACCCACCTTTACTGCCTCACTTGCCACTGCCGCTACTGACGCGACTGCAGCTGCTGTTACGACTGCGTCGCGGTCCCGCGGTAGGAGTGGCAAGAAAGGCGGTTCTGGTGGTGGTAGTGGAGGTGGAGGCGGAGGTAGTGGAGGTGGCGTTGCGCCTGGCGGCGGTGGAGGTTCAGCGCCTGGAGAGGCGCCTCGTGCAGTGACTGGTGACTCCACTGCGCCTGCTAGTGGTGGCGACGCCCGGGTTCGTCAGTCGCCTCCTGTACTTCCTGCCCCGGTTGGTGGAGCAGCGGCGTGGTACCAGGCTCAGCGTCAGCAGCAGCTTCTGCAGCACCAGCAGCCCCTCTCCTCCCAGCAGCCTCAGCAGCAGCAGCGGCAGCAGCTGGCTCCAGGGTCGGGGCTGCGTCAGACCCAGCGCGGTGCTGCTTACCCTCCCTGCACCTACCAGGTTCTGACAGGCCCTCGTCGTGGCCACCCTTGTGGCCGGTTTCACCCCCCTGGTCAGTGCTTTGCTCAGCTCACTGACACGGTTCGTTTGGTCTACGGGGTTGGTGCTCCTGCCCCTGACTGGCTGCCTCTTGTTCAGCGCTACGGCTCCGCTCTGTGGGGCATGTCTGCTGAGCAGTTAGTTGATCTGATTGGTACTCCCCATGCTATGTATGCTGTTGTTGACTCTAGTGTTTCTGACTCTGCTTACTCTGGTGTTGTTAGCTTAGGTGCTAGCCTTGCTCAGTTGCCTGTTGCTAGTGTAGGTTCTTGTGTAGACTCTAGTCCAGCGGCTACCTCAGAGGACGGTTCGCTGTCGTTCACGCTGGACTCTGGAGCCTCTCACTGCTTCTTTCGTGACAGCACGACACTTACGCCTCTTCCTGCGCCTGTTTCTGTGGCGCTGGCTGATCCCACTTCGGGACCAGTCACTGCGCGTCACACTACCACCTTGCCGTGTCCGGCTGCTCCTTCTGGGTCTCTCACTGGGTTTCACGTCCCCTCGTTCTCCCGGAACTTGGTGGGCGTGCGACCCCTCGTGAGTCAGCACGTGGGTGTGTGGTTTGAGCCTTCTGGAGAGACTGCGGTGTGTGTTGACGGGGACTCTTACCAGCCCCTCGCCACTTTTGCTGCTGAGCCGGGCTCCGGTCTCTACACTCTTCACACTGGCCCGCGCGCTCAGCAGCGACTGCAGCAGCAGCAGCAGCCGCAGCAGCAGCAGCAGCAGCAGCCGCAGCAGCAGCAGCCGCAGCAGCAGCAGCAGCAGCAGCCGCAGCAGCAGCAGCGGCAGCAGCCGCAGCCGCAGCCACAGCGGCCGCCGTCGCAGCAGCCACTCCTCCCAGTTCCTGTCCCTCCCCCTAGTCTCCTCCCTGCGTCTCACCAGGTGGTTCCGTCCCCTCAGGTTGTCGCGTCCAGTCCAGTCGCTGCGTCTTGCTCCTGTCGGTCGCTTGCCCACCCCACCGTTCTGTGGCACCACCGGATGGGACACCCTTCTCTTCCACGTCTGCGTGCTATGTCTAGTCAGCGTCTGGTCTTAGGTCTCCCGCGTGTCTTGCCGTCGCTGCCGCCGTCCCTTGCACCACCGTGCGGTCCTTGCGTCGAGGGTAGGCTGCGTGCCACCCCTCACTCCTCCTCCCTTCGTCCGGCCACCGAGCCTTTTGAGACGCTGCACTTGGACGTCTGGGGCCCCTCTCCTCGCCCTGGCCCTGAGCGTGAGCGTTTCTTTTTGGTGGTCGTTGACGACTACTCCCGCTACACCACAGTGTTCCCCCTGGCGAGGAAGTCTGAGGTGACTTCTACGCTGATCAGGTGGTTGCTTACCACCCAGGACACTCGTGGTCGTCGTGTCAGCTGTCTCCACTCCGACCGCGGGGGCGAGTTTCGCTCCGGCATTCTCGCTGGATTCTGTCGCGAACAGGGCATTCGTCAGTCCTGGACGCTTCCGGAGTCCCCACAGCAGAATGGGGTTGCTGAGCGTCGCATAGGCCTGGTCATGGAGATTGCCCGCACCTCCTTGACTCACGCCCGTGCCCCCCATTTCCTGTGGCCATACGCAGTCAGGTACGCCGCGCACCAGCTGAACCTCTGGCCACGCGTCTCTCGGCCGGAGGCTTCACCGACCAGTCTTTGGACAGGGTCCCCTGGTGTCGCGTCGAGGTTTCGTGTCTGGGGGTGCTTGGCTCTTGTCCGCGACACCTCCGCGGACAAGCTCTCGCCTCGCGCCGTTCCTTGTGTTTTCCTTGGTTTCCCTGAGGACTCCTCTGACTTCACCTTTTACCACCCTCCCTCTCACCGGTTCTTTGACTCCCGTGACGTCCGTTTCGAGGAGTCCACCCCGTACTACGTCAGGTACCCCAGTCGAGGTCTCCCGGTTCCTCCTCCCCCCCTCTTCCTGACCGCCGCTCCCCCGCCTGCTCCCCCGGTACAGCCTCCCCCCCCTGGTCCAGCCCCGTCTGGTGTGTCTCAGGCTAGCCCTCCCCCTTCGGTAGCCCCCCCTGTACAGCCTCCCTCCCCACAGTCTTCCTCACCGCCTCCTGTAGGTGCTCCCTCTCGGGAGGTTGGTCCTGCGACTGTCCCTGTACAGGTCTCTGGTTCTGGGGGTGCTGGAGTTGGAGCTGAGCCGCGGGTTGCAGAGGACTCTTCTCCTCCGGGGGCTGGTACTGGTCGTGCGGAGTCTGGGGGTGCTGGTGCTGCGTCTGGGGGTGAGGGTGTTCCTTCGGTTTCTGGAGAGCCTGGGTCTGGAGCTGGTGTTGGTGCTGCCTCTGGGGGTGGTGTGCTTGGTGCTTCGGAGGTCGACTCTGGGGCTGCCGCTGCCCCGGACACTACTCCTTCCCCCCACCCCTACCCGACCAGGTTCCAGGCTCGTGTTCGCCGTGCTCGTGAGGAGCAGCTGGAGTTAGAGAGAGAGGAGAGAGAGTTGCAGCGGCTCGAGGAGCAGGAGCGACAGCAGCAGGAGCAGCAGCAGGAGCAGCAGCAGGGGCAGCAGCCGCTGGAGCAGCAGCAGCCGCAGCAGCCGCAGCAGCAGCAGCTGCCGTCTCCTCCTCCTGTCTCGGGTCTTCGGACCCTTGGTCTCCCCTCTCCCTCTCCTTCCTCCTCCCCCTCTCCTCCCGTCTCTGGTCCTCCGCTTCCTCCTCCTGACCCCTCTCCCGCTGTTTTCCCTCGTTCTCAGTATTCATTGTCCCCTCCTCCTTCTCAGACTTGGGCCTCTCGTCGCTCCCCTCGTGCTCG